ATAATTGCATTAATGAGAAATTGAATATGGTGTTCCTAATAATCCTTTAGGTGAGTGTATATACTAAACATGCCTGATTGCATATGAGCAGAACTTTTACGTAAAAAACATTACATCTTTGAACATGTCACAAAAAAGAATTCCTCTCACACTGAGCATATACAAACACTTAAGATCTTAAGGTTACAAAAAAAGATAAAGAAATTCAGAAATATCATCAGTCTCTGGAACAAAGTCGTACAGGTCCAAATAAGCATGCATATTACAATCATGAATATGATATGGTTTCGCACAAAAAATAGTCTATGTGCTCGAGATAAATGTGACTTCAACACAGCTGGAGTTGTGTAAGCGCAAACACACTCGGGATAGAGACAGGGTAATGACCAAGAGCGTCTTTGATAGTAACACAACCTGTAGTGCTTCAGTAGTACTGTACATCAGGAGAGGGATTCTCAAATTTGCAGTTTGCATTGCATTCCAAACCCGAAAGCACACATTTTAAAATAAGAAATTCATCCAAAAATAACAAATACCTGTATTACACTTCAGGCAGCTAACATCATAATATCTCTGTTGTAAAATGTTGAGAAATACGATAGCTGATGTTAGTTAGCTTACGTTAACTTTATTGCTAACATTGCCGCGTCACATCTCCCGCCAAAATTACCATGGCCACTTTAATTAAAAACAATTTATAATGCCAGAAATGAGATTTATTCTGTAATTTCATGTAGTTCACCTGTCATATATTGGTTGCACTGTCATTTGGCTAACATTGCAATAAGAAATGTTGCCACGAAATTACTGAAAGGCTAAGTTTAACATTCGTTTGGTATATACATGGCAATCTTTTCACTTCAAACTGTCTAAACAAAACTTAAAAGTAATGAACATAGCACAAAAATAGAAGTCAGTCTTACCTTACGCTTTGCCAACGCGTGAAAAGCGTATCCTCGCCGAAACTTGCAGGCATCCGAACCGTTTGTCTTTCCAAGGGGGAGAGGAAGTGCGCACGTGCAGTGACGGAAAGTACGCGTAATCGACTAAAATTGAAGAACGCGATTTAACGCGTTTACTTATTATTTTACGGAAGAGGATTAGGACCATGAAAATATTATTTGAATTGTGACTTTAATGTCAGAATATTTAATATTTAATATTTTCATTGTGGCCCTAATCCTCTTCCATATCATTTCCCTTCAACATTAGAAACAAAAGAAAAATAACTAGACTCATGCTTATAACTTACCTGAACATTTATTAGGTATGTTTGCTTTTTCAACTTAGAGTCTTCATTTCATTTAATGATTTTGAAGGTTTGATTTTTGAAACACAGGTGAGGTCTCTTGGTTAAACATTGTTTCGTTGGTTGAGTCATGCATAAAAATTGTTCTTTCTGCCAGGTTTATGGAGAGATCTTGCTGGCTTTAAGATGGGGTGGATTCTGACCTGTGTGATGGTCTCCTTAGACCGCTCGACTCACTCTTTCAAAAGCAGGGGTGGCTCACGTCCTGTTAGCCTAGAAGTCTGATATCATCAATCATAGCTCTGAACAGATCCCTTGAAGTTTGACCGTTGGTTCAAGATTCACCAGACATGAACCAGATCGTGAGATTTCAAATGTTGCCCTACCAATCAGTTACGAGTCACTGAACTTTACAATTTTGGATAGGGGTTCTGTGGTTAGGTTGTCTTCATAAACCCCTTTGTGCAGCTAAAAATTCTCTTGTGTGCGTAAAGTAAACATTCTATGGTCTCTTTGGCAACCGAAGGGAAGTCCTACAATCAGATGTATTATCAGTTCTTTACAAGTGGACAAGTACACCTGTGGTACCTGCCAAAAGGAGCCTGCAGGCTCGAGTGTTGGTTTCCTGTGGGTAAGGACTCTGTTGGCTCTGTTTTTGTGTAGAGATAAGTGTTCCTGAAATGGTCTGGGTCCACTGCACCTGTCAGAGGCCAATGCTGATTCCACATAAACACAATGCTATTGCAATGGTTTACATTTATTCTGTGGTGAAGCATAACTGTCATTCTGGGAGGGGAACCTCCCAAGATGCCCTTTTGACAGGGTACAAGTGGTCACTGAGTGCTTTGATGGGCATGAAAATACTATAAGCTGTATGCTATAGCTTGACCAAACATTTAATCTCAATTTGGTCCTGCTGGGTTCATCCTGGGTCAAAACCTGCTACCTTCTAGGCTTGGAGGCCCTAGGCGATAGGTGTCAAAATCAACAAACATTTATTTATGACATGTAAAGATGATAGTTTAACAGTATATCTTTCTGACTGCATGGAATGTCGCACCGAGTCTTGTATCACTTTTCCCTTCAGCATACATTTACCACAGACCCTATGATGTGTTGTTTTGATGTTTTAATGCATTCTGCCATCATGCCCCGTGTGACTTGTGTTACGAGACAAAAATGATTAGTGTCACACACTTGCTGACTTCATCCCTAATTTGCAGTTTAGTCACCGATAAAGTGCAAATGTACTATGTAATTGGCAGAGACGTTCAATATAACCTAACGCACAAGTATAGTAATAAGCAAAAATACATACAGTCTTAAAGTCTTTTTTGCCCGCTTTTTCAAGTCAGGCTACAAATTTACTAAGACATCCTGCTGTTGCCCTTTGGTTCTGATCAGGTCATATTATTCAAGCTAATTTTCCCACAGAAGATTAAAAATTAATCTGGCACAACGTTATTCATTCAGTCGCCTCTGATTTGTCAAATTGCCGCCATTATCAGCCACTGTAGAAGGGCTGAATTATTTAATGTGCTTTGTTATCAATCCTGTATTATCATCGCTTGTCCACCATGCAGCGCCGTTTTTTAAGACATGCGGCTGGCTGGATGGCCTTGTTGTTTGCTAATGAATTACAATGCAAATTTGTATGTTATTTACAAGGAACAGAAGGGCTGTGATGTCTGTCGTCTCGTACATCTCTGTGTGCATCTCGTACAACTGACCAGCTTTTAATCCACAGATCCGTTCCGCAAACTATGCGATACATTTTTTTTTTCCCGGCAGAGATTTCGCTTGCTGTTCAATTATGTTTTTTTTAGTTCACTGCCACGCCGGCAGCACGAGTGAGGAAGTATAGCTGTTAATCCTTAGTGGCCGCCATTGGGCGATTCTCACCGGTGACGAGGTGGGACGTCCTCATCCATCACAGGCTCTCCTGATCTCTGTCAGTGTCGGCCCCCTGCCCCAGGTCCTGTGACATCTAATTCGACTCGCTCCCACTGATAATGACAGTATCGATTGGGCCTGTGTTCCATTCTGGGGACACCGCTTGTGGCTTTTTGACTCTTCTCTGCTAAATGAGTGCGGCGAACCCTCATCGTCATGGAAACCTCCGTCGGGTTTGGGATGGGGAATTAGTTGGCGCCTGTGTTTTCATGCACCATCCCCCACATCCCCAACACCACCCCTGGCCTGATCCACAGTGTGCCCCAAGCCTACTACTGAAGACTTGCATTGTGTTCCGATATGAGGAAGATTTGTTTGAAAGAAATTCTCTGTTTCATGTTGGCAGTGTGTGGTTTTATTTCACGTTTTTCAAGTGATCCTTATAGAATCATACAGCATAAACATAAAAATAAATATATTTAATAATGCTACTAATTCCTGGTTGCCTATCTAGCCAAGAGGAGGAGAAACAAACTAAGTGTTTTTGTTTGGCTTGCATAAGACCTGTAGTGCATTGAAGGGTTAGGGTGTGTGTGTGTGGATGGGGGAGGGGTCACGCAGCTGTGTGGTTTGTAGCGGGGCGGGGGCAGGGGTGGCTCAGAGTGCGAGGCTGACAGTGGGACCGTGCATGGCAGTGTACACAATCCATTCATTATTGACAGGGGTGGAATTAACTTCATACACTCCCCCCTGACATTACACCCCCCCCCCCCCCACCGGGGACGGCTGCGATCCGGGGAAGACATTTATTTGCAGATTAAAGTGAAATCTTCTTGATTGCTTTATGAAACGGATCATTTTCAATATTAAATTGACTTTTATCTATATGCAAATGACCCCCCCCATGTCTTAAAGTTATTTTAATAATTCATATGAGATGGGTTGAGGAGTGTAAGACGATAGCACACCAAAAAACGGCCTTTATTGTGCGGGGTTTGGGAGACACTCCACTGCCCCCCCATACCTTTCGTCGTGGTGATGGGAGGAGCTCGGATGCAGCGTGCAGCCCGCCACCCTAACCGCCCTGCCCGCCCGCCGCCCTGCCCATCCGCCGCCCTGCCCTACCTGCCCGCCACCCTGCCCATCCGTCGCCCTGCCCGCCCGCCGCCCTGCCCATCCGCCGCCCTGCCCATCCGCCGCCCTCCACTCTGTCCCGCTCTTTTTCGCCACATGCGTTCCGCCCAAGGCCTCCCCCACTCCGCGTCAATAGCGCGCTTACGCTCATCTCTCCTGCTTCCCCCCAGGTCACTCATCCTGCGCCGTGATGTCTCTCTGTCACGGGCCGTTTCATCCTGCGTCGAGATGTCCGTTGTCCTTCACCATCGTCGCTAGACATCATCCGCAATTCCGTCTTCGAAGGCTCGGCCTGTCACTCGGAGACGGTGAGGAGAGCACGGCTGAATTGTTCAAGTCAAACAAACATGATATAAATCAAAAATTCGTATCAGCAGGGACGTTTGCAGAGGGCGGGTTATGCATGTAGATGTTCCTACTACGTGCGCGTTTGACAAAATTTGCCCAGACATGAGCAGCAAGAATATGGGTGATTGATGTGTTGTCAACATATTATTGTAATATTACAATTGTCTTAAATAGCAGACCCATTTCAAAGCATTAGAATATTATGCATTGTCAGGACACCGAGCCATAATTTGATCCACAGATCGGTGGTTTCCTGGTGACCCAATGGCAGCTTCATCTTACCACACCTGAGTGAAAATGTGTCTCAGGGGTGGCGGTTTGTGAGAAATTATCGTCATTATTCTGAGATCAAAGGCTTGAACACAAACAGAGAGCATATCGCACAGCGTAGCACACACGAGACCAGAAAACTCTATGGAAAGTGGCCCTTCACTGAACATCATCTGGATTTTGTTGTAATAAGAAATAATGCATGCATCTATCGATAAACCAAAACAAATTATTCCAAGGTGGTTTTGTAGAAAGAGCAGATTATCTGTCCATACCCTAGTTCGTTGTGGTTACCCAAGAGCTTGTTTTATTGTCAACGAAAAAAACACATCAATTTTTTGGTGGCCATTCGGTGCGCCTGACATCGATCGTGGCGAACAAACTGCTAATCTCAATATCCCAACTTAACAAAAAAATGATTTCTCAGTTACTCATCGAAAGGATAAAGAACGGCTAATTCTTAGCCTAAATGCGCCTTGGTGTCACCTTGATGATGAAATCAGCATGCAGCACTATTTAAAGCTGCTAAGGTTGGAACGGGGGGCCGTTGTCACGGCAGTGGCTAATTGGTGATTATGTACATAATTTCTTGAAAGTGATTCATTTAATGGGATAATTATTGGCGAAAATGACATACCGTGAATAGTCTTAATTTCCTCAGAGGACCGCACTGCTTCTGGAATGACATCAGCACATAAGATGAGGTCAACGTTGCTGATCTAATCTACCCAGAGGAAGTATTTGCAGGGCAATAAAAAAAAAAAGATGTCCGCCTGGTAATGTCGCTCTTAAAGGCGCGGTAGAGCGGTACAGCCTGTTTTCCAAGCTCTCAAAATGCTAGTCCTCGGCAGAAGGGTGGCTGATCACTCTGCGAGACATCACCGTAGTATCTCGTTACGGAACTTTCTATTCGTTTAGCCCATGCTAAGTAGCCAGGGTCAGTCAGACGTCCTCTGTGGCAAAAAGCAGCAGGCATCTATCATCAGTCACAGCGCTGTGCTGCCCTGACCTAAGGTGCGTGTAAGGGGGGAGGATCAGAGGAATGATCAGGGCAGACCACACACTTTAGCTCCTACTGGCTGCCACAGCACCAGCCTTTCAACACGGGAGGTGGTTGTCCTGAACCGGGTTCGCGTCTT